TCCCCCCCAGTCTTAAGTCCCAAGGGGCTTAGCAGGAGACCCCCCCAGCCAGCACAGAGCTCCCCCAGTAGTGCCCCTCACTCCCGACCTGCCATCCTGGTGTCCCTCACTCCCAACCTGCAGCCCCACTGTCCCCGTCCCTTCCCCTCAAGTCTGGCTAGTGCCCCTCACTACCGACCCATAGCCCCCCCTCCCCTTTCAGGGCTACAGTCTTCAATTCTGCCCCACTAACCCCAGCAGGGATTGACCCAGTGGGGGGTGGAGGCAGGGGGCTGCAAGTCAGGAGTGAGGGGCACCGGCCACAATGTGGGGATGCAGGGCAGAGGGCTGTGGGTCAGGAGCAAGGAGCATTGGCCAGGCTGGGGGGGAGCAGGGGGCAGTGGGTTGGGAGTGAGGGGCATCAGTCAGGTGGGGGGCACACAAAAGATTCAGGGTAGAGATACACCCAGAGCTGCAAAGAAGCCAGGGTCCGGGCTCCCCCGCGCAAAGGGAGCAATAACTCCCAGTGCCTCCAGCCAGTTCTCTCTGCTGACAGGGCCTGGAGTGGGGCCCACGGAACTGGCAGAGCCCTGGGGCCAGCTGCAGGGGGGGGGCTGTTACACTCAGCCACGACCCACCCCAGAGCTGGCTGCATCTCAGCACAAGGTTCCCATTACACTCAGCTGAGAACCACCCCAGAGCTGGCTGCATCTCAGGGCTGGGTGAGGGGTTGAGCAGGACCACCCCCACCCTGGCCCCAAGGTGTGGCCAGCTCTGGGGTGGGTCCTGGTGGAATAGAACAGGGACCCAAGGCTGAGATGCAGCCAGCTCTAGGGTGGGGGTGGCTGGGAGCAGTGCCAGACCCAGTGGAGGCTGCCGGGAGCTGGCACTGGGCCCGGCTGGGTGAAAAGCCGGGGTTTTGGGCTAGGGCCAGAAATGGGGCTTTTTGGATCAGCCTGGCCTGGAGAGGGAAGGACATCCCATCCCTCCCCCCAGCCCTATTGGTGCTCCTCACTCCCTGACCCACAGCCCCCAGCCTCCTCCCAAGACAAATCCACCTGGATCCTCTGATAAAAGACACATTTATTATCAGGCCCCCATAGATTACAAAGCCCCTCCCCTGACACCCCTATTTGGCACATTCCCGTCATACAAACAAGGAGCCTTGAGCAGCCAGATCAAGGGCAGGTTTCTCAAGCCAAGGAACGTAGGTGTCCGGGCTCCCACCCCCCACGTCCAGACCTGGGCATGGAACCCAGGTGTCCTGTAACCATCATCCCCCTCGCTTCCTGTCATGGCCGCCCCGCCTTGGCAACCATCTTGGCAGTCATCTTGACTCTGTCCACTACCTGGCGCAGGTGCCTGGCAGGGTCCCTCCTCACAGCAGCCACTTGAAGGGCCAGGCTGGGCCATGGCCGCCCTCCGAGGAGGTCGCAGCCCGGGAGGAAGGGATGGGGGCAGGTGCCTGCCAGGAGGCTGGCAGCCATGTCATCGAGCAGGCCCAGCAGACAGTGGGCTACACTGTCCTCCCGGCTGAGGTACCCAGCGGGCAGGCGGTCACAGGCCCGTAGTGCCTGCGCTAGGATGGGGTATGGCCCCACTGGCCCTGCCAGGACCCCCGCCAGGAGGGCAAGGGCGGCTTGCACAGCCTGGCGCATGGGCAGGGGCATGGCTGTCTTCAGGTGGAACTCGCTGCTGGCAAAGCTGAGGCGCCAGGCCCGGCCTCGGGGGTCACTCAGGGAACAGGCTTCCATAGACTCAGGCCCTGCTTTGCCACAAGCGTTGCCCAGGCAACAGGCCTCAACTGGACTGTAGGCCTCAGGCTGTGCTAGGCTGGAGGCATTGCCCGGGCAACAGGCTTCAACTAAATTGAAGGCCTCACATCTACCTGGTCTGGGGCTGTTGCCCGGGCAACAGGCCTTACCTGGGGCATAGGCCTCAACCAGGCCAGAGGCATTGCTTTGGCAATGGGCCTCACCTGGAGCACAGGCCTCAACTGGGCCAGGGCTGTCACCCAGGCAACTGGCCTTCCCTGGGGCACAGGCCTCCAGTGGGCTGCAGGCCTCAGGCCAAGCTAGGCTAGAGGTGTCGCCTGGGCAACAGGCCTCAAGCAGGCCACAGGCCTCAGGCCAAGCTTGGCCAGAGGCATCACCCAGGCTGCAGGCCTCAGGGCAAGGGCCGGTGCAGGGCAGGAGGTAGAAGCTGGAAGCCACATCCTCCAGCCTCACTTAGCCTTCCCAAAAATGGCCGCCATAGCTCAGCCAGTTCTGGGCCGCCTCCGGCCACCCCCACACGGCAACCACAGGAGCCACATCATACAGGGCCCGCAGGGGACCCCGGCGGAGGATGAGAGTGACCAGGCCGCCATGGGCATCGGCCTGCTCCACCTCTGGGCCCCCTTGGTGCGAGTGGGACTGGCGGGCAGTGGCCACCAAGGAACGGGAAAAGTGGGCTGAGACCAGGCTGGGGCAGAGGTCAACCTCCTGGCCGTGGCGACAGCTGCAGTCGGCCCAGCGGTGAGCAACAGTGGGGCCGAGAGGGGCTAGGCCCAACCTGGCATAGCCTGGAGGGCAGCCCCCTGGCTCCAGGGGCAGGCGAGCATCCAGGATGGGCACCAGGAGGGTGTAGTCAACATCATAGTCACGGCCGGGGGCGTAGGGGGCCAGGACGCCTGGGTTCAAGTCCAGGGTCCCCCGGCGGGCTCCACCGGACAGCAAGAGGAGCCGTGGGGTCGCTGGGAGTCTTCCCTCCAGCTTCTGCACCAGTCCTGAGGAAGGACCCAGGTGTCCAGAGGTGTTGCCCAGGCCTGATCGGTCAGGTAACCAGGCATGCGGGCCCCCCAGCCCCCCTGCTCTCACCCCCCAGGCCCCTCCAGCACAGGATCCAGGTGTCCCAGCAGCTGCACTTAATCCCAGTGGAGACCTGACACCATCTGGCCAGGCCAGGGGGTGTGGGGGGGAGATCAGACAGCAGCTGGGACAACCTAGGTATCCAGGCGCCCAAGCCGCCCCCCTCCCACCTGCCAGACCCATCCCCTGTCTGGGTGCTGGCGTGCGGTCACCCGACTCACCCAGCAAGGCGAACACGAAATCCTTGAGCTCCGCCAGCTCAGGGGCGGCCCGGACACCCGGGTCCCCGCGGCAAAGCTCCTGCACCAACTGGTTCAGCTCAGCCACCCGGGCCCCCGAGGGGAAGTCGAGGTCCGTGAGGGGCCGGGCGGGGGAGGGGCGGAGGGCATCCTGGAGTCCCCCAGGGGCAGCCATGATGCCCCCTGCCGGGAGGTCAGGGATTAACGGGGCAAAGACACCCGGAACTGCCCCCAACCCCCATCCTGGGGCTGGTTGGGAGTGAGGGGCACTGCTGGGGGCTGAGGTTGGGAGTGAGGGGCACCAGCCCCCACCCTCACGTGGTGGGGGGAGGGGACAGGTATTCACCTCACCTGACCCACCTGAGCCCCAGGGCACCGGTCCCGCCCACTGGGGGCCCAGGGCATGCTGGGAGCTGTAGCCTGTGCCTGCCCTGGAGGATTCTGGGAGTTGTAGGACCCCCCCCCAGGATAATTATATGGGGGGAGCACCTGGGTTCTCTGGGAGGGGAGGGGGCTGAGCGCAGGGCAGGCTGGGGGCCCGGGTGCCTGTGTTCTGGCAGGGGGATGGGGTCTATGGGGGTGGGGGGTGCAAGAACAGGGAGCACAGATGCCTGGATTTCCCGGTTTATTGGTGCTGGGCACCCGTGTGGGGGCCAATGCTGCAATACACCCACTTGCCTGCTGGGTCGGTGCCCTGGTAAAAGGGGTCCCTGGGTTTTGCCCCCGGGCCCTGTTGTTCCTGGGGGGGCTGTTTGGGCGAGGGGGTGCGGGAGTTGGGGGGCCGCATGGGGTACAGGTAGACCCGGGGCCCCTGCTCCCTCTTGCACCCAGCCCCTCCCTTCTGCTCCTTCCCCTCCGCCTGCCCTGCCTTCTGCTGCCGGGGTGAAAAGCTGGAAGGGGTCTGGGTGCTGGTCGCCACAGAGACAGGGTCCAGGGATAGCCGGGGCAGGGGGGGCTGCAACTTCATGTCCATAATGACCCGCAAGGGCTCAGGGGGGCAGAAGGGGCAATTGCAAGGCAGGGCAGGGGGGTAGTGGTGGGGCAGGGGCTTCCTGGTGGGTGGCTCTGGGGGGGCGGGGAAGAGAGAGAGAGAGAGAATGACAATTAAACAGTGCAACTGCCCTCCCGGGGGCAGATACCCCCTCCACCCCCATACTTACCCCGTGGGGCGGTGGTTTCTTGCAGCAGCTCCCAGAGGGCACCGGTGAGCTGCAGGGGGGAGAATGCAGTTGAGTCTGGGGTAGAACCGAGTGGAACAACAATGTTTCTAGGCCCGGGGAGGGGGTATAAGAACTGGGGGTGGGGGGACTGCAGGTAAGGAGTGAGGGGCATTGGAGGGGCAGGGGGGGGGGGGGTGGGGGAGGAGGG